TCCCTCCTTCCTCCCTCCTCTCTCTCTCTCTCTCCCTCCCACTGCGGGTGCGTCTGTGTGTAGTGGAGCTGCATCTGCACGCGGCAGCGTGAGGATGCCTGGTTGATTTTATCTATGACCGCTTGATTTCTTCCAGATGCTCCCTTCCCTTTCTCCCCTTTCTTCCCGAGGGAGAGATATCAATCTAACGCTTACACAGTAGGAATACAGAGGGACGAAATTGAACTTATATTAAAAACAACAAACGCCACCACGAATTATAGGGAGCAGCTAGTTGACAGTGGAAAAGAGGAGGAGGGGGTAAGGCACATATCGCTGCGTTAGCATGTCTCAACACCACCACGTGTTTAAGTACATCATCATTGGTGACAGTGGTGTGGGGAAGAGCTGTCTTTTGCTGCAGTTCACGGACAAGCGTTTTGAACCACTGCACGACTTGACAATTGGGGTGGAGTTTGGCGCGCGAGTGGTGACGATTGAGCAAAAGAACGTGAAGCTGCAGATTTGGGACACCGCCGGGCAGGAGAGTTTTCGCAGCATCACGCGGAGTTACTACCGTGGCGCTTGTGGCGCGCTACTTGTGTACGACGTCACGCGTCGCGAGACGTTTACGCACCTTCAGACGTGGCTGGAAGATGCGAGGGCGAACGCCAACACCGCCATTGTTATTATGCTGATCGGGAACAAGTGCGACTTAGAGGCGAAGCGGCAGGTGTCGCGGGAGGAGGGGGAGAACTTTGCCAGGCGGAACAACCTGGTGTTCATGGAGACCAGCGCCAAGACGGCGCAGAATGTGGATGACGCCTTCATGAAGACTGCCACAATGATCTACGAAAACGTGCAAAAAGGCGAGTTGGACCCCGCCGTGGTGTCGGGCAGGCAGGCGCCTGCGCTCGCCGCCGCCGCCCCAGGGACGCGGGGCGGCGGCTCCGAGGGGTGCGCCTGCTGAGGGGACCCCCGCCCCTACGCGCACCAGACATGTACACGTAACACACGCCCGTACGAGGCGCCGCGCTGCTGCTCCCGCATGGGTGCGTGCGGTCGAGGAGGAGGGAGGAGGACAAGTCCCGCAAAGCACGCACAGGCGCGGCGTCCGCGGCGAAATGGGAAGAGCGGCTCCCGCCCCGTCACACACGTCTCAGTGGCTGTGCGTCCTGCCGCCTCCCAGCGGGGTGAGGGACAAGAAAAAAGACGGAGACAGTTGAGGCAAACAAATTTGTGTTAAAACAGAGGGCGCAGAAAGTAACGGAATGAAACGAAGACATCGAAATGAAGGAAAAGTCAACACACACACACACAACCAAAAAAAAAAAGAAGGCCAGTGGGCATAAGGAGGTAAAGTTAATTACAGACGGATGTTTGTGTTTGTTTATGAAGG